CTTAAGGCTGCACAAGTCGTTCGGTCTTTGCTTAGACCCAACAGGTAACATATTCGTTATGTTATTACTATGATTATGTAAATTTAAACTTTGACGAATGCAATATCAAGTTCTATCCTATGTATTTTCAGCTATGTGATTGTTGTGGAGCATGATTTGAGTGTCCTGGATTACTTGTCCGACTTTATTTGCTGCTTGTATGGGAAGCCAGGTGCTTATGGTGTAGTTACTTTGCCGTTTTCGGTCCGAGAAGGTATCAATATTTTCTTGGCCGGATTTGTTCCAACAGAAAATCTACGGTTTCGAGATGAATCTCTTACTTTTAAGGTAACCTGTGCCTTTTCAGATTTAGATTTTTGGCTATGTGATGAAACATTGTTTTTATGTATGTTCTGTCCTTTCAGATTGCGGAGACTCAGGAAAGTGCTGAGGAGATTGAGACATACCAGCGATATAAGTACCCTACTATGAGTAAAACACAGGGCAATTTCAAGCTCACTGTTGTTGAGGGTGAGTTCACTGATTCACAGATTGTTGTGATGCTTGGTGAGAATGGGACAGGGAAAACTACATTCATCAGAATGCTGGTACGCCACCCTTCCTCCGTAACTACCCTAATCTTCAGTTCAAAATCAATCAACTAAATCTGCAGTTATCTTTCTGATTTGTTATGAATGGATAGGCTGGGTTGTTGAAGCCAGACACTGTGGAAGGAACTGAGATTGAAATTCCTGAATTTAATGTGTCCTACAAGCCTCAGAAGATTAGCCCGAAATTCCAGCATTCTGTGAGGCACTTGCTTCATCAGAAAATACGGGATTCATATACTCATCCTCAGTTTGTGTCTGATGTCATGAAGCCACTGCAAATAGAGCAACTCATGGACCAGGAAGTTATCAATTTATCAGGTGGTGAGCTACAAAGGGTGGCAATATGCCTTTGCCTTGGAAAGGTAAATAGATGTTTCTTCTGACAAATATAATACACCATTTTTGTGCCTTTTAAAAGTTTTAAGACTTCATGACCTGTCTAGTTATATATATATATATATATATATATATATATATATATATATATATATATATATATATATATATATATATATATTTCACATACTATATGCTCATTTGGCTTTTGTGACCAAATCTTCTAGGTCTGCATTTATGTTCCTGCAATGTTTTTTAAATTATATTTGCATCAAGAACAACAATACATAGACCGTAATTCGTATGATATTTCTTCCTGTTTTATGTGGGATTTCAGAATGCATTAAACTACGGATACATGCACATGGTCTTTCTAAACCTGTCACTGATGGATTTCAATGAGTTCTATTCCTTGCTCTTCTCAGAAATGCCATTTTGGAATCTGTTTTAGTTGGCTTAGAACACATTTTATCCATTTATATCCTTTGATGTGGACCTGGTGTGGCTCAATCTGTTTTGCTAGATGACATTGGAGTTAGATATTTGTATTGTTGTATGTTTTACTTAAGCATAGAATGACTCAAGAAATAATTATTTTTCCTGTGGGCCTACTGTCATGGGGTAGATCATAAGAGGAGGGAGATAAATCAATCTGAAATTTGTAACACTGATTAGACAATGGTCTTGAATTTGGAGACTTGTAGTGCTACAGATCTCAGTCGCGGTGTGCTTTTCTCATAAAATAACAATCAAAGAATATGTCTTGTATTATTTACTTTTGTTTGCACTTTTGAAGCCTCTGAATAATGGCTATGAACAATCCAATTGATGATCCACCTAACATATCCGTAGTACTTTCATGTGGCTAAGCACCTAAATGCTGTATTGCCTATATAAATATTGACTTGATTGTCAGCTTATTGATACTTGCAATGTGGTATATGTTCAGCCTGCAGATATCTATCTGATTGATGAACCAAGTGCCTATCTTGATTCGGAGCAGCGCATTGTTGCTTCGAAGGTTATCAAAAGATTCATCCTTCATGCAAAGAAAACTGCATTTATTGTGGAGCATGATTTCATCATGGCTACCTACTTAGCTGACAAGGTCATTGTTTATGAGGGGCGGCCTTCTATCGACTGTACTGCCAATGCACCACAGTCTTTGGTATCTGGGATGAATAAGTTCTTATCGGTAAGTTCTGAATATTAAATATTGAGAAGAGATCCACAAGTTTGTTGTAATACCATCTCGCATCCTTGTCTTTGGTTCAGTTGTAGGCAACTTCCTCAAAAGATTAATTTTTCAGTAGAGTTTGACATTCTATATCTGTTTTTAGTTGTCGAAAGATGTCCCACTTCTGTTTATTTTTCAGAGTATTTCATTTATGTTTTCACATGCTAATGCTTTCTATTGTTTTTCCTTTTGTGCATGATAGCATCTTGACATTACTTTTAGAAGAGACCCAACCAACTATAGGCCAAGAATAAACAAACTGGACTCCACAAAAGACAGGGAACAAAAGTCTGCAGGATCCTACTACTACCTTGATGACTAATTTGAAGGCGTACAGGTTCCTACAGCTCTCATTTATGCTGGAGTAGTTTCATATCATTTTTTAATTCTTATTTTCACTTATTAAGTAATTTCGTTTTTCTTTTGCCTTGCTGTGCAGAATCTTCTTGTGGAGCTTCCCGCCCATAATTTGCCCAGGCCTTCGATGTCCTACGCATTACTTGTTCAGAAGGTTACTTTGAAGCTACCACAGCTTGAAGCATGCTAAATAACTTGGCTGCAGGAGTGAAGTGGTATCATCATCAGTTATAAGGCTGAGCATGTGATGCTGACACTTGAGTTCTTTTGCTGGTTTGATATATATGATGATGGGAAAGAGAGATGTTACTGTTAAACTGAGCAACTTTGTCAGGATCGGAAGATTGTGAATTTTTGTGTATTTTTGCATTATTGTATCGTGGATTTACCAACTGGCACCCTTAAATCGTTGGTTTTATAGGCATAAAGTTTTTGAGCTGTTACTCATGTTACCAATGTTATCAAAGTTCTCTGAGTTATTACTGTTAATTCACTTTATCGAGATAATAACGTAGTTTGTCTTTTTTTTTATTCAGATTTTTAAAAATCTGTAGTAGACAAAACCGAGGTTTTTCTTTGTTTTGATCGGATGCCAGATTCATTTGCTTGTGTTTAGTTTTGTTGTGTCAACGAGAATGATTGAGTTGCGTTACATGCAGATTCATGTTGTTTGTTTCTCCACAACTTACAGTCGTGGAAAATTTAAGGTTGCAATGTAAGTGAAACTTAATAAATCTATTATTTGCAAGAAGCCAATATTAGAAAACAAACTATGATAAGAAACCTCAAAATTAACGCTAAAATTAAGTTTTGGAATTTAAATTTTGTTTGTGACCATTCTTCCAAGTAGAAAACGATAGCTCCATCAAACACCATAAAAGTTATTGCTCATTTAATTTCTTGTCAAAATTAACCTTACCAAAATTGATATTACCAAATTAATTTTGGTATTAATAAAATTTGGGAGCTTTTGTTGCATTTGGTTTGACCCCTTACTAAAAATTGGAAAAGTTTTTTTGGATAGGAAACTTTTAGAATTACCAATATTTGGTATGGTAGCAAATGATAAAGTTACATTTAGTTTGTTAACATATTAAAATTTGATAATGTCAAAACTTGATAAGGTTAAAAATGGTACTCTATCCGTCCCAAAATACAAGAGATTTTGGTAGGATATGACATATCACAGTATTTTAAATCCATAGTGATAGGAATGTGTTTCATCCAACCAAAATCACGTCTATTTTAATATACTTAAATGGTAGGATACGATATATCACAGTCTTTTAAATCCATAGTAATAGGAATATGTTCTATCCAACCAAAATCTCGTATATTTTAATATACTTAAAATGAACATGCTCTCGGTGCATAATACAAAGGCCTTGTTCCAGAGGTGAAATGTTTTGGCGTGTCACATCGGATATATGGACACATATTTGAAGTATTAAACGTAGTCTAATAACAAAACAAATTATAGATTCCGCCTGTAAACTGCGAGATGAATTTATTAAGCCTAATTAATCCGTCATTAGTAAATGTTTACTGTAGTACCGTATTGTCAAATCATGGTGCAATTAGGCTTAAAAGATTCGTCTCGCAATTTATACGCAATATGTGTAATTAGTTTTTTTTTCTATATTTAATACCTCATGCATGTGTCGAAACATTCGATGTGAGTAGGATGGACAGGAAGCTTGTGGCTTGTTAGCTCACTTGGCTCGGCGGCAAGGCCCAAGCCCAAGACAACAGCTGAACAACAAAACCCTAGGCACACGCACCGCATCTCTCTTTGTCTCGCGAATCCTCGTCTCCTCGATCCCCTTCGGCCCTTCCGTTATTCGCATGTTCCGTATCCGCAGTGCGCCGTCGCTAGCCGCTAGGGCCGCCGCCGCCATCGCCGGACTTCCCCTCCTCGGCTCCTCCTCTACCAGCTACAAACCTGCGTTTACGATGGAGGAAGAACGAGAGGTGCAAGAGCAAGTGCCTCAGGTTGCAAGCGTGGAATCCCAGAGCAAACACATGAGCGTGTCTTGTTGGTTTGGCTCGCGAATCTAATGAGCTAGCTCTAGCTTTCAAACGAGCCGAGCCGAGCTGGGTTTCTAGCTCGTTAGGATAACGAGTTGAGCCGAGCCAGCTCGTTATCCTAACGAGCTAGACCGAGCCGAGCTGAGCTGGCTCGCTATCCACCCCTAGATGTGACAGGGTTAAAAGTTTTTGCGTGGGAACTAAACCGGGCCAAAATCTTCTCATGGTCATGTAAGTTGGGTACGTACGTATTCCACTTTTAAAACAACAAGGTGGCTGGGACAACATGATATTACTAGTACGAGTAATTTTCTTTCAACGTATATATTTTTATAACCAGTTGATTAGACCAAAAGATATCTTGAGATGAGCTTCCTTTCGCTCTCTACTTCACACTTGTTCAATACGGTACGGACAGATTTTAACCACCGGCTGCCTGCAAGTAGTACCGGTGTGTCCGTGTCTGCTCGACTGCTCTCCCTCTCCTCCCCGTCTTCCTCCCTCTCCCGGTCTCCCCTTCGGTTGCCGCGTCACCACCACCACCACCGGGTCACTGCCACGTGGGCCCCACACCCCCACCTCCGCGACCTCGCGGCCGGTGAGCCGCACTGCGCCTCCCCTCCGCTGGGTACAAACCGAGTGACCGATCTACCACCTCCACCCACCGCCATCCCCCCCAATCCCCCCCACACGCCGCGAGATCTCCCGCCTCCTCCTCCACCCGCCATGGATCTCCTCCGCGACCGCCGCCTCGGCGCGCTGCTGGTGGTGGTGCTGGTGCTGGTGAGCGGCGCGGCGGTGGAGGCGTCGATCCACACCTACGACAGGGAGCCGTTCCGGGAGGTGGGGAACGCGTTCCTCCTCTCCGGGGGCAGCGAGGGCGTCGTCGCCGACGGGGCCGACCTCGCCGCCCCCGCCTCCTCCTTCATCAAGTAAAGTTTCCCATCCCCCCCGCACCACACCTCCGCGTCTCGGTGGTTGGAAACTAGTATAGTAGTAGGTTCTCGAAGCCGCTGCCAAGGGTGAGAGGCATGTGCTGCTGGCTGCTCGGTCTTGAATCGCCTGGGGATTAGGCGTCGCCGGCGCTGGGAATGGGAAATGGGGGGCGAGGCGTCACCGCTGGAGGATCCCGCCCGCGCGCACGGTTTTGCTGAGTGCTTGCTTGATTAGTGGCAATTTAACTTTTGGGATTTTTCATTTTGGCAAGACATTAGTGCTCAGTTTGTGATTTATGACCAAATTTATAATTGTGTTGCCGATGAAGTAAAATTCGGGTTGCTTAGATACACCTAACATTGAAAATGATAAAATCTGCAAGTTGTGACCCACACATTGAACTCGGTGCTCACCATGTAGTTGTTTGCAGTGTTTTGTGTCAATATTGTTCACTGCAGTTCATTTTAGTTTTATAGACTTTTAGTTCAGCTTTGAACTTCTTGTGCTGATAAGCAGGGCTGTGCTACCGCCGTATTAAACCGATGCAGGTTCCACTATTATCATTTTGAGTAACATTTGCCATGGATTAGGAGAATTACATAGCTAGTTAGCTACTGCCAATGTGAATTACGGAGCATGTTGACAAGCTGATATGTGGGCTCAGAAAATCATTTGGTTGATGCTGTCCTTGTGCTTACTAGCTGTTTCTATCTGTTTTATTGCGTCCATCAGGCTTTATTTTTTGTAGGAATATGTATGGGTTTAATCTTTTCTGGGATCTGTATGTGTTAGTTTACCGATGGAAAGAACTATGCTCCATTCATAACAATTGTATAATTTAGTATTAACCAGATGCTGGGTTTTCTTACTGTCAGGTTCACGAATGTTACTTTCTGGAGAACTCCGGAATCAGCTGAATCACATGCAAAAATGGCACACAGTACAGGTCTGGTACAGGCCATTTTATTTGAAGCAGCTGACAGGGATAACATTGGGGGATCTGCCTATGGTGGACAGAGGTCCATATGTTGTACCCCTGACCTTGCTAAACTAGAGGGCTGCAAACAAGGGGAAGTAATCAGGAGACCATCCTCTGATGATCCTGATTGGCCTTATGTGCTAGATACACACTTCAGTGGTAGTCACCTTTCTGTGAAGTTAGAAGATGAGGTAGTTCGCATTACCAAGACAGGCATGTACAACTTGTTCTTCATTTCCTGTGATCCAAAACTGAGAGGCCTTAGTATGAGTGGGAAGACAGTCTGGAGGAATCCTGGCGGCTACCTACCAGGGCGGATGGCACCTTTGATGAAATTTTACGTTTTTATGTCACTGGCTTATCTATTGGTCATGGTTGTCTGGTCGAGTCAGTATATAAGATTCTGGAGGGACATCATGCCAATCCAGAATTGGATCACACTAATTATTGCACTTGGCCTTTTTGAGATGACACTATGGTACTTTGAATACTTAAACTTCAACAGTAGTGGTGTACGGCCAATTGGAATCACAACTTGGGTGGTTACTGTTGGAGCCATCAGAAAAACGATTTCTCGCCTATTGATCCTTTCTATCTCAATGGGATATGGTGTTGTCCGCCCAACCCTGGGAGGACTGACCTCTAAGGTGTTGCTCCTTGGGCTGACATATTTCCTGGCTTCTGAATTGCTGGATATTGCAGAAAACGTTGGAACAATTAATGACATTTCTGGGAAAGCAAGGCTTTTCCTAGTTCTTCCTGATGCCTTTTTGGATGCTTTCCTCATACTTTGGATTTTCACTTCTCTCTCCCGCACACTTGAGAAGTTACAGGTAAGCTATATTTGATGTAATTTTTCTTGTCTGCTTTTATAATGATGATTACTCCCTCCGTCCCAAAATATAACAACTTCTACACCAACATTCTCTTCTCAACCAATCACAACCCTCTACCATTCAATTTTCTCACCTACCTCCACTTCTCATCCAATCACAACCCAAACCTATTTAATTCTATCTACTTTCTTAGTAACTGTATCCAACTCTAAAAATGCTTATATTCTGGGATGGAGGGAGTAGCATTTTATCCATGTTTTCTCTTTTCAATAAAGTCATAACATCTGATGTTTTGGTGGTGGAGGAAATAAGTGCTTGCAATTCTTTTCTGATGCGTAACTAACTGTGATCTGGTGGAGTTACTAGTGTATGAAGAACCTATGATAGTGATGTTAATATCAAAATTCTAATGGTGTTATGTGTGCTCACAAAGAGGACAAGTGCTTTAAACAGTGTTTATAATTTCATAACCAAGTCTGTTGAACCATGCCAAAATAGAAGTATGTATTGTGTTGCTTCTTAATCATCACCTTTTTTTATTGCTCATCAGGCTAGGAGGAGCTCAGTAAAGCTGGATATATACAGAAAATTTACTAATGCATTGGCGGTATCTGTAATAGCTTCAGTTGCCTGGATTGGTTATGAGGTATGCAAATTTGACTTTGTTAATCAATAGTGCATATTGGCTCACTGACCTATGTTCCTGGATTGGTTAATCAGTAATGTGGTGCGTATTAGTCTCTTAAGTTCCTGTAAGCTTTATGAACATCCAAGTACGTCATTATCACATGGCATTCCAAAATTGTGCCCTCTGAAAACAACAAAGTCTTCTTTATAATCAAAATTTATCTGCTATTTTTAGAGGACACCTCTATCAGAATGTCTTCTTTGCACTTTAGTGCTTCACTATTTTTATGATGTCCTGATAAAGCACCCATGGAAAATTTGGATGATTCATTTTTTTTCATAATACTTGGGTTCTAAGCCTGATCATAAACTTCTTCTCTGCATGAGTGTGAAAAAGAATCATGGAAGACATTACTCACTTCATGTTCTGCAATTTTCTTCATGCTGATATGAGAGATGGTTTCATTCATCTGCAGATTTTTTTTCAGGGAATCATCTGTTTTATAGCATTATAGCTGTGATAAATAACCTGCTCTGCTCAACAATGGCTTCATTTTGCAGGTCTATTTCAAAGCGACAGATCCCTTTAGTGAGAGGTGGCAGAGCGCATGGATCATAACTGCATTCTGGGACGTTCTTGCATTTGTTTTGCTTCTTGTGATTTGTTATCTATGGGCGCCATCCCAGAGCTCACAAAGGTTAAATCTTTGCCTCTTCAATGACTGGAAATGCCATAGTGAAAGTAGTAGTGTAGCTTGAAATGACTTGAAAGTATCTGTGTTGCTACTTGTAATAACCAGCTTATCTACTCAAAATGCCGATAGCTCGCCTGGCTGCCTGCCATCACTAGAAAGTAGTAATGTGTTTTTATACGGCACAAGAAGGTTATCTTTGAAAGCGCTCTAAAATTGACATGTCAAACCTTGTCCAGATACGCATATTCAGGCGAAGCTGCCGACGACGATGATGAAGAATCTCAATCTCTGACGAAGGGGACCGACGGTGATGTAGGGATGGTAAAGGTTGACAAGGACAGAAGTGGTGGTGTCAGTAGTGCTTTCAGCTTGGAAGACGAGGCTGAGGAGGACAAAAGAGAGTGACCTGCTGGAGCAAGAATGCTCCAAGGTTCCTGAGCTTTCTTCTTCTTTTTGGTGGTGATTTGATCTTCTCTTTTGTACCTTCTCAGTTACACAGGTCATGTAGAAGCGCACCATTTTATCCATTCCTGCGAGGATAGTATGTTCGTGGTGTTCCATGTGGAGTTTCACATAGGCCAGGATGGTGCACATTATTTAAATGACTACACATTCACAACAGTGTACATATCTGTTTTTGTTACCGGTTGTGCATTGCCTGATGTATCATGGTATCATGTATGAAACTGGTGAACGCAGTGTTTGACAGATCTGTTTGCCTAATTGACTGGAAGTTGCAGATGAAAAATAGCCAAAGTTTTTAATCCAAAACTCCAGTTCTCCTGCACTAGCACTAACCATCCAATTACTTCAATGCTTTTGGTTCCAAGACCTGGCATCAAGGTATTTAAGCCATAACAGTTCAATCTTTCTATTGTTAAAGCATCAGCAGATTCTCGTGAGAAGATTTTTCAATAGCGGATTCTATGCACGGGATAGATAAAATCGTAATAAAACACTGTTCGTTGTCGTGAGAAGATTTTTTGATAGCTGGATTGTATACATGAGATAGGTAAAGGCAATCCAGATCCTCTGCAGGCAGTATTGCTCACTGACATGTGGATCCTACATATCCTTAGGCCCACATGTTAGTGAAGAGTACTGCACTGCAGAGGACCTTGAGGGCCTGTTTGGGGGAGCTTTAGATTCTGAGAAGCAGCTGTTTGGTAGCCAGCTTCTGAAAATCTAGAAAAGCTCTGAAACTCAGCTTCTCCAGCTTCTGACTTCTTAGTTCATTTTTCAGAATATGTAACTACAGATTCTCAGAAGCTATGGACTGTTTGGGACAGCTTCTAGCACCCAAAAGCTGCACCTGGGACAAGCTTGTTTGAGTCACTCAGGTAAGAGAAACAATCCATTTTTTTTCAGATTTTAAGAAATTGTAGTTATAAATTCAGAAAATAAACTAGAAACCAGAAGCTAGAAAATCTAGCTTCTACCGTATCCTCAAAATGTAGCTACCAACCAGTTATTTCTCGGAATCTTAAGCTCTCCGAACAAGCCCTTTATCATAATAAAACACTGTTGTACTCTCTAGCTGAAGCTGTGCGTGCAGCCTTGAGTCCTTGACAGCTGACGTTAAACATTCCAACGGCAGATGGCATCATGGCAAACAGGCAAAGAGCCAAAGATGCAGGCTGAGCATATAAAACCCTTGCTGGTCAAGCCGCGGCATGACTGACAATTGCACAAACATGCGTCAAAGAAGTACAAGGCCAAGGAAAGATGATTACAAGTCACTGGTTAACTCGAGAATTGATGGCTGTGACACCGTTCTTGATCTAGGCACAAGATTCTTCACTTCAGCCAAGCAATTTTCTCATCAAGAACGAAAGAGTACAAGGATGGCATGACAAACTCTGGATTCTTACAGAGTAAAGGCTTTGTCTGATTCTTCCTCCCTCTGTAGAACGGTTTGTTCTATGTTGTGAGTTATGACATGCTTTCATAAACTCCTCCCTATTTACACAAATGAAATCAGGTGAGCTCCCCTTCTAACTTGGGTTCAAAATGAGAACACTGTAAGCGGTTTGAACAACACAACTAGGCATCTACAAGCCTTACCTTCTGCAATTCTGAACTAGAGTCTAGAGGTCATGAGTTGACATGCTTGTCTAGGAAAGCGTTTGCCAGATTTCTGAAGCTGGTATTAGCATCTCCAGCCACGGCATACTCTCTTACTGCCTTAAGTACTTCTGGTTTCAGAATATCTTTCTTTGTCGAAGGGTTACACAGATAATATAAAGCCCCAAGTGCATAGTTCACCTGTGAAATCATTGGAATGGAATTATTCGTATAGGAGAAACTACAGAAAAGTGAGGAATCAATAAGAAAATCTATTTTTTCAAAAGAACAAAACATTCATTTCAGTAATTGGATAGTGTTGAAGTTATGGTTTCAGAAATACTAACCGTATTCTTCACTGGGCTAGATAAGCATTGTATGACCAACGGAATTCCACCGCAATGAGTAATGACTGAAGCATTTGCTGGATCTGCATGTATACAAATAGACCAATAAGATTTTAAAAAAAATCTATGTTTGCTGGAAACACAATTAAAAAGTGGGAACATTAAAAGGGAAAATTGGGAGCTTGAAGTATTGCATTGCTCACCGGCACAAGAGTTACAGATTCCACCGATGCCAAATTCGATAAGCCTTTCGTTTGGCTCCGTAATGCAGTCCAAGAACAATTCTAGGATATTTAGCTGAGAAAGCAAAACAGATAGACAAGTTACTGAACATGATCGCTAATTCAAGTCAATCCTTATAGCACATGAAATCTGCACAAACTGTTCCTAAAGAACAAGTGTGCGAGATAACAACCTGGCGCATAAAGGTGTAGTTATAAGGATCATATGCGAAATTCGCCAAATTTGCAACAATTCTCTCCTTGGACTCTGCGATAACAAAAATAAAATAGAATCAATGAACAATGTTTAATAAGCATCCAATGCCATGTAAACTCTGGCGTCCATGAACCGATGAACTTATTCTACTCGACAGTATAATCCCGAATTATATTTTCATTTTTAAAAAATGAACTAGCTTATGCTGGCTTTTATCAATAGGAGAAAAATGCAGAAACAATTCGGCTGCTATGGACAACCTAACGACGGACGGTCATCTCATCATGAATTGGGTTTGCAAGACGAGAAATGGAACTAGCTGACCTTCATCCGTGGCCTCCTGGAACTGGGTGACGAGATCCTGACGAGGCGGACGCAAATCAAACGGAGAAAAAAAAATCAGCTGATCAGCGCGAGGATTTTGCAGGATAAACCAGTCGAATCTTTTCCATGAGCCAAAAAGCAAAGCAAAAGTGAGCCAACCTGGAGGTGCTGGTCTCTCGGGGTGCCGTGGCGTCCGGTCCGCTCGACCTGCCGCTGCGCGTTCGTGAACATCGATCCCCCTCCGACCCGGCAGAGAGAGAGAGAGAGAGAGAGAGAGAGAGAGAGAGAGAGAGAGATTCCCGATCTGCTCACCGCGCCGCCGTGGTTGGGGGGGAGAAACGCTGCTGGTGGTGGTGGCGGAGCCGATGCCCGCGGGAATTGGGGGCGGTGGTCTCGACGAGCTCCCCACGCACGGAGAGCCTCGGCTCGCCCAGCGGAAGCGAGGGGGCACCTCTCGCCGGAGTGATGCCGCCGCCGCCGTGTTTCGTCGAGAGGGGTCTCGCCGGAGGGGGGATTTGCCGCCGCCGTGTTTCGTGGAGGAGAGAGAGAGGGGAGAGCGGGGAACAGCTCAATCCGGGCCGTACGACATCGATCTAACGGTTTCGGATGGGGACACGTCATGCATTGAAACACAGTTTCGGGCTCTTTTTTGGAACGAAGGATTTTCATGGGAAATTTATAGGGTTTATACTGCTATATACGTACTGTACAGCTCATATACGGTTAGATATATACAACCATACCATAGATCAATATAAGAGAAGAGCATGTTCATATGTATTGCAGCTGTTTACCACCATTGATCAAATTCAGTTATACGTGAGTCGGATAGTTGGGTCATATGCATAGTAATTTTCGATGTAACTATGGAATTATTTTATATTTTTCCAATGAAGCTCTTTGGTTGAAAGATCTGGCTACAAAATTTTTATTGGAATCCTTTCTTTCCTCCACCTTTTAACTTTTTTAGGATTTCAAACAGGAGCTCAAACCTCTTGGTTTTGATTTCCTTTGAAAAGTCCAATTCACCGTGTCTCTTCATCTCTCTTCTCAACTCTATCTTAATAATACGAGTATCTAAATTCCCCATGAATTTCTTATGAAGTATCTAAATTTCCTTCGAATTCCCTGTGAAGTATCTAAACAACCGTTAGATATATTCATGTGTCATAGGTAGTGGGCCGAGGGGTCGAGGCCCTAGGGATAAGGATAGAGTCGGTTGGATAGGATTAGATTGGATCCTCCCTCCATCTATATAAGGATGGTTTGTATCGTTATTCTAGTCAAGCAATGAATCAAGATTAGTCTCTCCCAACCTAAGTCCCCTTCTCATCCCTAGCAGCCGTCGCCGCCCGGCTATCCTCCCGGCGGTGTTTACCCCCCTATGAATCCTAATCCATAACATCATGTGTTTTCAATTCCCGACTTTCTATTTCTGCGTTTTTACTATTTATGTGTTTTTTTCAATTTCTGCGTTCCAAAGGAGCCCTAGCAGCTTAGCAACTCTGATCTTTCCAACGTTGAAGTATCAGTGCATCTTGTAATGGATTTTGCTCTTCCTTTTTTTTTACTAACTTCTTACAAAATCTACTCTTCCTTGCAATGGAGGACAAAACAATATTTACTGCAAAATCAAGGCAACGAGTAGCATAGTAAAGCTCTCGTGTGGTTGCAGCAGTCACACTTTACAAACCATTGTAGTATTGAACTGGTAACCTAGAGCTGGCAAAATTTGGGAAAAGAAATACAGCTGATGCAGTTGTACGTGAGAGACTTCTGAGCACAGCTGGGGCAAACAGATTCAGATGTTAGCTTTTGAGCAAACCAAATACTGTTAGGTTCAAGAACTCAGGGTCTTCTTGTTGGTGTCTTCTCAATCTGTGACGCGGAGTGGCTGTTCATTCTTCACAATCAACTCAACTTGATTCTGGTCAGCCCATACAGCTGCATCCAGATACCCAAGCTCATATAATTTGTCTAGAACCTCGTCTTCGGCGGGTTCCAGAGCCCAGTTAAACAGCTGTAATTGATTTGAGAATTGAGACAGTGTCAAAGTGAATCAAGGTGAGTGGTAAAAATTGTGCATTTCGAAAGTGACTGACCTGTCGGGGGCTAGCTCTGTTCTCCGGATTGCAGTCTGGACTAATACCAATCCCTTGCAATCCTAGTCGACTGGCTGGGAAAGCACAAATTCGAACCTGCAATTGTAGGCATAGTGTCAAGAATAAGCATTGCAAAACAGGCAGCATGGCACATTGTCCTGTTGTATGCATCAAAGATGTGTACACAAAGTAGTACAACGCAACTGGTTCTGCTAATGGATATCGTGGGGGGCCTCCCTCACTGTTTCCGGTAAAAAAAAAACTCAGAGTAGAATATTTTTGGAGACAGAGAAGCCCTCAACTCACAAGTGTGATGCATCCTGCATGAGACAGGCCAACTTGCACACGCCCATTCAGAAGAAGCGGTTTCAGAATTGCACATTCAAATTTCAGTACAGTTTTTTAAAACAGATTGCTCAGTTATGGAAAAGGAAAAGAAAGAAGATACCCCAAATTCAGGTTATACAGTTATCTTCACTGTAAAGTATAAAGAGAGCAACAGAAAATGTATTAAATTTGAGAAGAAAAACACATTATTATGTACTCAGCTTATGATCATTTTAGTACATGAACACATCACAGTGCTTGCACCTACTACAGAACAAAACATGTCTGAGGTGTCCCTATGTTGCATTGTTCAAAATCATAGTCTAACCAAGACAGACATGTCATACGGTTTTCAATTGTAAAATCAACAATCAGTGGGGGAAATGCTTTTCATACATGTGCAGAAAACTCAATAGTTCTAGTGATCAGAATAATTTTGCAGAACCAAAAGAAGTTATGACATACTGTTTCGGAAGCAGAAGTTGGTGGCATAAACAACGTAAGGCCCCCATCAATGCACAGCCTGTTCCGGAAGAAAGTTGCAGGCCTGGGAGCTAAATATCTGAAACAAGCACACCCAATTATTCTTAAACTTAGAACACAAAATATAGAAGATACATACAGTACGAGTGAGGAAAAGTTAACATGAATCTTACCCAGGAATAAAAGAGGATGTAATAACTGCACTGATTACATCATCTTTTGAGTCAAATTGGTCAACCAGTAAGCCCCTAGGCCTCCAGGACAGCTGAGTAATAGCAACTGATGAGAAGAAGTTAAGTGTTCTTAATTATTAAATCCAGTTACTTGTCAGAAAATAATGTAGCAGAAAATACACACAGCAAATATGAATAAGCAATGGTTGAACAGTATGAAGCTTACCACGGATCCTTCCGTTGCACCTAATGTGCACATCATCTGGGAGAAACCTGTCTAGAACATCCTTGAGTACAGCCTGCTCAAGTGCACAAGATTACAAGGTTAAAAACATATCATTCAATCAGCCAGCACATGAACTATTTAGTGACTTGAGTGCCATATATGTCTGTCGCCTTCAGCGTATTTTTTAAAGGATACACCAGGTTACTCATCACAGTTTTCTCGAATTATTACAGTCTAAACACCAAGGTATTGCAAAGTTGAAACATAGTTGGCAAATTGGTCATAAATAAACCAATGATCTATCACACATATAGTTGGGTATAATTTACACAGGAAGCAAACTCACATGTTGGCCGCAAGTATAATTAAAAGTAAACAATAAATGGAAACAGAAAACTTACCCCAAGGCGAAAGGCTGTCCCATTGCTCCGACAGTTATCAGCTAGATCCTTGGTCACTTGCAAAGCATCTCGCATCGTGTTCCCAGATGCAATCACTGCACAGATTATGGCACCAGCTGATGAACCAGCTAACGGAGTTCTTTCCTAATGTAAGTCCCAGATAAAGAAACCACTATAAGAAAACTTGCTAAAAAAAAAAGCAGCAGCATACATACAAAATGTATCACACGTAAGTCCTAAAATCACAAGCATAGGAATGCAGAATTTCCATGCATAAAAATAGCAGGCAATGTTACCACCTAGACAGTACAGTAGCATAAAAATTGAGAGCTCTAGCCAGCCATGGCACCAACAAGCTACTCCTACTACTCCTACTAAGCTAAAGAGACCAACACGGAAATTCGACTGTTGTTAGCCACAATTTCATCTCGAAAGTAACCCGCTCATTGGCTAAAGAGACCAATGTGAATTGGATTGTTGTTAGCCATAATTTCATCTCAAAGAAACAAGCCCCAATAGCTAAGCAGACAAACGTAAATTGGATTGTTGTTGGCCACAATTTCATCTCGAGAGAGAAACAATCTCCACTATCGTAGGCACACGGATCTCACAATTCATCTGAGCAGAAGCTCCTGTCTCCTACTGCAAAAATCAAGTACGCGTTCGCGTAGAAGAGGTAAGAGAGATGGGGGGTGGACGCGCACCGTGAGGTAGCCCCTGTCGATGAGGCACTGCGCGACGCCGATGTGGTAGGGGAAGAGCAGCCCGGCGGCGGAGAAGCTGAACCCGGGGCCGGTCAGCTCCCGCCGCCGCCGCTCCGCCTCCACGTCCTCGGGCCGCTGCTCCCACACCACCCCGTCCTTCGCCTCCACCTCCTCCACCGCCGCCCCCCCGCCCCTCCCCGCGCGCACCAGCAGCGCCGCCAGCCCCAGGAACACCTCCCCCGTCCTCACCGCGAGCGACCTCTTCTCGGTCCCCTCGGGCAGCGGCGGCGGCTCCGGGTCGCGGCCCGCGGCGGCGCGGGCGAGCATGAAGCGACGGAAGCCCCGCGGCCGCGCGGAGGCGGAGGAGGGAGGGGTGGAGGAAGGTGGCTGCGGCTTGGGAGGGAGGCCGGAGGCGGCGGAGGAGAGGAGGGAGGAGGCCATGGGGGCTCGCCGGCGGCCGCCGACGACGACACGTGTGCACGCGCGGCGAAGCATCTGCTACGTCGTTAATTCGTTTAGGTGCGTGGAAAAAATAATTAAAAAATCGATGTAGTTTTCTTGTTTCTGTCCTTTTGTTTTCGATTTTATTTTCCGTGGGCAAACGAAACGACACGTGTCGCTGCCCAAGTCGATGTACGTCGTAGCTTTGGATAGTAGAACTCCGTATGCAGGAATTTTTCGTGTCGTGGCATTGGTATGGCTCTGATCGGAAGTAGTATTTAGTTTCGGTATCACCTATATATTTTTCGACAAATTTTCTCCTAAATATTTGACAGATATAATTATAGTATAATCGTAATATAATCGGCACAGGTGATAACCAGAGGAGACGTGGTGCGCGTTCAAGAAGCTGGATCGATTTGTGTCGCGACTCCGTCCAAATCGTTGTTTATCATAACCTTTTGAAAGATCGGGAACCCTAGTGCACATCACACCCTAATTCGATGATGAAGCTGTTGCCCTCCACGCTCAAGCTGTCATTGTCCTCAACGTCAAAGGGCTGGTGCGGTCTCTTCCTCGTCGTCTTCGGCAAGTACGCGCTCACGGATCACGTCCTCGCTGACAACTCTCACCTCAACCACGTGGATTGGGCACAGATGGACTGCGTCGTCCTCGGCTAGCTATAAGGCACGATCTCCGCCGACTTGCTTCAGGAAGTCATGTTGGCCACGGCTACGGCTCGCTCTGTTTGGTGTGATCTCGCCCATCAATTCCTCGGCAACCAAGAATGTTGCACCATCAATGTCAACGCCGAGTTCCGCAACTTCTCTCAAGGCGAGCTCTCCGTCACCGACTACTGTCGTTGCCTCAAGTCCATGGCTGACACGCTTAGCGACCTCGGCAAACCCGTCTCCGATGGTGCACTCGTTCTCCAGCTAATCACCGGGCTTAGTCCCCGTTTTGGCAACATGCATTCACTTTTGTCCATGTAGAAACCATTCCCATCGTTCATGGATGCACGCTCTCAGCTCCCGCTTGAAGATATCATGAAGGGCTCTCAACCGGCAGAAACTGCTTCCGTGTTCGTCGCAGACACCGTCAGCGGCGCCTCTCGTCCCGCTAGCAGCAACAACGGTTCTGGTGGCGTTCCCCAGAACTCGACCAACGGCTCCGTCTCCGGCAAAAACAACTCGCGAAACCACGGCTGTGGCCACAGCAACTCCGATGGCTCCGGCGGAAACAACGGAGGTGGCTAGGGCAACACCACCTACGCAAACAACCAAGGCCGGCCCACCACCTCCCCCATGAAGCAGGCCGCTGTTCCGGCCCAGCACCAGGCCCAGTGGCCGTCCCCTTACAATTCCTAGGCCGGGACAATTCAGATGTGGCCTGCCCTGGTCGGTGAGGACTTTGATCTGTGCTCTTTGTCTAGCTCTTGTTGATCTTCTCATAAAAAGGGTAAAAGATGACCAATAAACTAAATAGTGAACTTTCGATCCACCGCCGCAGGACGCCTGACATGATGAAATTGACGGAATTGCTCGATAGGGCAACGGAAAGAGATTTTAGATGCTAATAAAGTGAATGATGAACTTTCAATGCTATAAAGCCAAAAACGAAAACTTTTGTTACTATAAATACAATTTTGCCTTAAAACTTTATTGTACGTACTTTCTATATCTAAAGTAATGAAAGAAACAATCTTTCTCGAAAGCACATTGGGCCACGTAGTGTTAAAAATAATGGCCATCGAATGAATGCATCGAGAATGGATGGCCATCCGATCATTAACGACATACATGCGGTAGAAAAAAAAAACATGCCGTATGCACTTCCCTCCCGAGCCTTATAGTGTCTCCTGGCAAGAATAAAAAGACCACTGTATGTGAAAGACAATAAGTTATACTAGTTTATGATGACTATAACCATCCTGTTATTAATGGTGTGGATGAAATCTTATCTATAATGTTTAGAATTTGAGTATTAGTTTGTGCAAAAAATAGAAATGCTAATCAATAACAGAAAATTTTAAACAGTTTGCTATTGTAAGATATACTTGCAAGGATGATTTTGTAGGCAGTGGCATAGTAGAACCCTTTGTGTCATTGAAATGACCATATGTGTTATTTTGAGCAAAGGCATGATTTAATGTTGTCATTGTTCTTACTTTTCTTTTTAATTCCTACAATATGCATGTGTACAGCCCTCTGGAAATTCTGCAACCCAAAAGCCAGAACCATGTCAAATGCTCCCTCCTGTGCTCACTCAGACGATCTTTTAATCCTTGAGTTGCATGATCTTCATGATAACAACTGAAGTTAACTTACTTTTATGAAGTAATTTGTTAATGTATATAATATTGTACGACTTAGTATTATAAATTGCATTTTATCTTATTTTTTGTTAAATAAAAACACATTATATGAAATTACATTCTTGATGAGTGCTTTTTTTTTTCTTCTAGCAGCTGAACTTCCAGCCGAAGGCACGTGAACCTTCTTGATTCATCCTTTTTTTTTTTCTTTTCATGCAACCATTCCTCCCTTCACTTTCAATCCTATGTGCCACTGTGCCAGCTTCATTCACCATATCAATCCAACAGTTTATATATTTTTCATGATGTGGCTCATTCTGGAGCGACAATACATTTTCATTCGCTAGCGGCCTGCCAACGACATAAAGATTGCTATGTACACGATCCAATCGTCCAACACGCATATGACTAAGTTTAATCAATGGTTACCATGATTTGAACCTCTACCCTTTGATTAATTTATGGTTATACGGCTTCAGTCAGTCTTATGTGGATAGCACAACTTGATCGAATGCATAGTGAGACTCTCGATACAAACACACGAAGAAGCAAAAGATTTTTCTTTGTGAAAGATCACCAATCTTAATTTGGAGCCCTCTTGGTCGACTTGTGTAAACTCATTCAGCATTTGGTATTCGTTCAAGAAAAAATTTAATTCGTTCACCATTTGGCCACCATCCCAGAGGTCTCACTTTGGAGACCAATCCCCATCGGGATCGTCGCCAAATTGCTACAGGTCCCAAGTCAATTCTCTCTCGAGGATTGGCCTGGATCCGATCAAGATTAGGCTTCCTATGACAGCGTTTCTCCAGCTTCCAGGTAAATAAATGGACGTGCCTCATTCCCCTAGGACGTCAACTTGATCAGCCACTGTTGTCGGTTCAGTGCCCTTAAAACTTAAAAAAAGAACCGATCATTTCATTAGATTAAACCCTCCATCAACATTGGTTAACTAATGCAAGTACTAGTATTAGTATACAATAATATCTCTCACATTTTGTCGGCAAGAAAATTGCAACTGGAGAATTGGAGGGTTTTGTTCCTCTAACTACAGGATTGTCAGTGTCAGGACACTAAACACACGGTCGTGGCCTTTTCTGGAAAACCGGAATTTCGCTGGATTTTGGTAGTACGGATTTTACGCCAAACAGCGCAATTTGTTCCTAAAAAAATGTTAATTTCATTTCTTGAAGTCACTCGTCAGTACAGCATGTTGTCTTAGGCAGTACAGCATGCTGTCAGTTCAGAGCTCCAAACCTTAAAACACACTAGTATTTCTTTAAGCACCTTGTCAGTACAGCACTGCACTACAACATCTTCTCAGTTCAGCCACATACTCCGTAAAGCCTAAACTGACTGGCTGTTTTAAGTTTAAAAACCATTGCAATATTTGAAATAAATGTTAAGCATCTCGAGATCTGCAATTCGATTGATCTTTAATCTTTTGTCAGCAGAGCAATTTGTGGCTTGATCCGGGATCGGGTGTTTTGTAGTAATTCTTCTCGAAGCTGGAGGTGTTTTGTAGTAATTCTTCTGGAAGCTCCCGTGATCCGAAGCTGGAGGCATTAGAAACAGTTTAGCCCTGTTTAGTTCACAAAACAAAAATTTTTACACTATCATATTAAATGTTTGGACGGAATATTAAATATAGAAAAAAACTAATTACACATGATTGCGTGTAAATTGCGAGACGAATCTTTTAAGCCTAATTGCATCATAATTTAACAATGTGGTGCTACAGTAAACATTTACTAATGATGGATTAATTAGGCTTAAAAAATTTGTCTCGTAATTTTTTGACGAAATCTGTAATTTGTTTTGTTATTAGACTATATTTAATATTGTAAATGTGTGACCGTATATCCGAAAAATTTCCCCTGCTAAACAATGCCTTATTTTCTAATGAGCACCGACTCACCGACAATTCTGATCAAACAAGTCTCTGAAATGAGATCAGAATCAAAAGCATTGGCAATGCAACAGTCATGTTTCCCACTCTCAATAACAAGAAGCAACTGAAGTTTATTTATTTTTATTTGTTTTTGCTTTGAACTGAAGATTTCATTCGAATCCAACTATAGTTTTGATGATCATATATACTTCACAAAAAGAAGTAAACAAAGGTACAAAAGCAAGATCAAAAGCAGGGTAGATTTGACTTGAAAAGATGCAAATTTGGGCCGAATTTATCTGTCCCTGCTATTACCAGCACTGATAATTTCATTTTCTTTTCTTTTTTACTGTAACGAACGAGAGAGAACGAAAGAGCTAGGCGCGCGTCCAGGCCAAGGCCGGCGGCGGCGGCGCCGCCGCCGCCGCGTCACCGGGCGGCTGGGTAGTCGAACGGCAGCGGCCGCACCTCGTCGGAGAGCGGGTCCTTGTGGCGGTACCCGTAGTTCCGGAGCACCTGGTCGTCGGCGAAGTTGAGCGCGCGGTTCATCCCGTCGGCGCAGCTCTTCTTGGAGTAGATCTTGTTCGGCTCGCCGCCGCACGGCTGGCACCCGGTGAAGTGCGTCACGAACGGCCGCCGCCACCCGCTCTGCCCGCCGCCGGCGGGGCCCGGGACGGCGCCCCTCACCGCCGCGTTCCTCGCCGCCGCGTACCGCTCGTGCTCCCGCTCCGCGTGCCGCCGGCGGAGATGCGCCGCCGCCGCCGAGGGCCGCCGCTCCGCCGCCTCGTACCTCGCCGCGATGTCGTCGAGCCGGTCGACGACCTCCACCCAGTACCCCTGGAAGAAGTAGCCCTTCTCGAGGTAGGTCTTGGCCCCCCATTTCTCCTCGTGCTCGGAGAGGAGGTAGACGAGCGCCGACTGGTCGTCGGACTCCTTGTCGGACTTCCCCCGGAGCGTGTCGTGGAGCACGCTCCCCCACCTGGCGTACTCCGGCGAGGCGGGGCCCATGCGCGCCCACGCGTCCATGAAGTCGAGCGACCACTGGCAGTTGCGGATGAGGAACACGCCGGCGTTGAGCCCGACCCACGAGCGCTCGCCGTACACCTCCTTGTTCCAGCCATAGACGACGAGGTTGTGATCCTTGTACTTGTGGAGCGGGAGGGAGAAGTCCATGTCGGTGAAGACGGCGTCGGCGTCGACCCACCAGACCCACTCGGCGTCGGGGTGGGCGAGCATGGCGGCGCGCACGGCGGGGATCTTGGCCCAGTAGGCGAGCATCCTGGGCTGGAGCAGCGCGTTGTTGTAGAGGAGCTCGACGCCGTGGAGGCGGCAGTAGTCGACCTTGTTCTTGAGGAACCGGAAGAGGAGGTGGTCGCCGCCCTCGCCGCGGCAGGGCGGCGCCTGCGAGCCGGACACCATCACCACCCGCTCCCTCCCCGCCGCCGTCGCGTTGAGCCCGCGCGGGTACCGCAGTCGCATCCACGCCGCCCGCCTCGCGTCCCACCCGGTGATCCCCCCACGCCGCCCGACCTCCACGGCGTACGACACCCTCGAGTCGTCGTAGAACGTCCTCCCCGCCGCGCCCGGCCCGCCGCGTACGCCGACATCGGCGTCGATCGCCGCGGAGGCGGCGGACGTGGAGGCGACCGACACCGGGAGGGAGCGGAACGCGACGAGGTTCGTGACGGGCATGGGCGACAGGAACGACGCCGTGGCCAGCAGCACGAGCACCGCCGCCACCGCGCCCGCCGCGAAGACGAGCGCGTCGTGCACCCGCCCCGCCACCGCCAGTTGCCCGTGCTGCGCCCTCGCCCCCGCCACCCCGCCGCCGCCCTTGGATGCCGCCGAGACGCCGAACGGCGCGGTCTCCGATGCCGCCATGGCCGGTCTCGCCTCGCCGAACCGAACTCCCACTCTACTCGCGAGCGGCGCGCTCGCGGTGTGTGTGTCACTGTGTGGTGTTTTAAAGCGGAAAAGGCCAAAGGCGTCTCTCTCTTTTGTAGTATAGCGGAGGCAGCGGAAAGCGGAAGCGGTTGTGGACTTGTGCTGCTGCGCGGGGTGCGGGGTTGGTTGTTGTTTTGGGTGTTTTTGCTGGGGTTTTTGGGCGTTTTCGCGGTGATTGCGTGCGGGTGAGGACGCGGCTCGCGGAGGCACGGCGGCGAGGCGATGGATCTGGCTGTGTGTGTCGGCCGTGGCCGCGCGCGTGGGCACGTGACGGTGTCGCGGGGTGTGCCGTGCGCCTCTAACCCCCCGGCCGAGTCACCTCACTCGTTTTTTCGCACACACGCTTTTTCAAACTGCTAAACGGTGTATTTTTTAAAAAATATTTATATACAAATATCTTCTATCTATTATATACTAAAAGTCCATTAAACTTCTTATAAACGCTCTCAAGCCGCCACGTGGTCTCCTATAAACGCTTCTAAGTCGTCATATGGCGTTCTAATAAATTAGAGAAATTCCTAGAAATTCTAAGAAAAAAGCAAAACATCTGTCCATCCGTTTTCACTTAAATTGGTGGACCCATTATTTCAAGCCGTCAGATTAGTTTAAAAAAAATCTTTCCACATCCACCTCCCTCCTCCCACACGTAACCCTCTCTCCCCTTTTGTACATACTCTGTCACGTACCATGTCAAAAAAAAATCTAAAATCTTCAGATACGTACGTGCAGCCCACATATATCTCCTTTTCTCTCAACACCCTATTGGCCTATTTTATAGCTAGCAATTCAACATAAACATGGTGAGTTAAATGGTCACAATTTAATTTAGATTGGGAGTAACTGATAACTTAAGATCAATAAAAATCCAAAATATTCTGAAAAAAATAAAAGTTAAACATTGAACCATTGATTTACGCATATACAGGTGAACTATTATTTTCAATCATTAGATTAGATCATACTAAAGTAATTAATTTCTCTCTCCTAATCTCATGCGTATTTGCAAGAGAGAAAAATAAATATATACTATTCTCCCGGAGAAAATATACGTATGTTTATATGCATGTACAGGAGACTATTATTTGCAAAAAAAAAACATGAATATGTACGTACATAAAAAAAATATTAACCATGTCCTTCTAACCCTTAAATTAGAAAGTTTATACATGATCAGTCTACCCTCTGCTGTGGCTCCTTTCGATCTCTCCAGTTTATTTCCTAGGGTCGTTGTTGACTAGGCTATATCTTATATCTTATATTTGTGACAGTTAATTTATTATTAGGAGCCAACGTATCTGAGATCGTTGATATGCTTACCCAGTCCAAAATGAAAATATTGGTTAAAGGGTAGTCTAAAATAAAACATTCATAATAAAATATGGCCCAAAGTAAAATTTGTGACATATATATAGCAAATTCTGATTAAAAAGTTATCATATGGAACAATATTCTAGCCAATTTTTATATCTTTCTTATCCAAATAATCTCAACAATTACTCCATGTTTTTTAATAACTGATTGTGGATATTATATTCATTTACAACCCACTTTTTCTATAGAAAAATTATAAATATGTTAACTATCTTTTGAATGAAAAATATTACATGGAACCACATTCTATCACTTTTCATATTATTATACATAGCATTAACAATTAGCACAAATAAACTTGATAACATATATTGTTCCATCATATATTACCCCACGAACATGCATAGATGAATTAGATCAATAATACGAAGAAAAGAAAAATATCAAAACTCATATTACCTCGTATGTTCATGAATTATTACTACTCAAGCAGATATTTTTCCACGTGTTTCTCACCATTGAAGCTATTAGATTATTTGAAGTAGTATCGAATGATCAACTCTGCTTATTTTCAGAAGAGAAAATTATATCTGTACCACTAAAATTTAGTAGACCAATTAACACCATAAACAAATGTCAACTCTATTCCATAAATGGACTCAAAACTTTTAAAAAAAATGTATCACTTTCATCTTATCTATGTGTCATTCCCTGAAGGGCACCAAGCATTGATAACATAGTTTGCTACACTACTATACGTATGGTGGGGGTATGCATATGACTAAGTTGAGGTGACCCAGTGAGAGGCTACTATTCGCAATAAAGTTCAAATGGCTTACTTACCGATGTGATTCTTTAACTGATAGTGAATTAGGTATTAAAATTGTGCTCCACACTAATCTTGAGGAGAACAACTATGTCGATACGGGACACATGTTTCAAAGTATAAGAGAAGAAAGCCTTCGTGGCTACAGTCGACTTCACCCATTAGAGGGGCATTTAGATCAAATTTAATGGTTTTATCCCATGAATTGGTAGGAGTAATATTTCAAAATATTTATGCATATATTTAAACACAAGCGAGACATGAACAATTTGGTATGAAGTAGAGATGATCTTTTTGTTGTGTCTAGACATTTATTTTTATATAATTATAGGTGATCTATGGTCCTTATAATTAATTAATATGGTGAGATAGGATTTCTTTAGCATTATTTTTATAAATAATAAATAAACGTTTCTTATAATTAATATGGTGAAGTATGACTTCTTTTAGCAATCTTTTATAAATAAGTTGGCCGCGCATTTGCGCGGGCTTCCTTCCTAGTTATATACTAAAAGTCCATTAACCTTCCTACAAACGCTCTTAAGCCGCCACTTGGCGCTCCTATAAATACTCCTAGATCGCCATGGCACTGTTTAATCTCACCGTCGATTTTCACTTAAATTGGTGAACCCGGTATTTTAGACCATTAGATTAGATGTATTATTTTAAAAGTAATACTTTTCCTCCTGTCGGTGACATGGGGCCGAGGGTATCGTGACTAGAGGTTTGGGTAGCCGCGGTCACCCACGTGGCCTGACCCCCTCGGGGGGGTCGGGCCCGAGGATGATGTGGCCACCCCTCCCTCTGTCTCCCCGAGGGGTCGGGCCACCCCTGTTTCGGCCCCGAGGGCTAGGGCGCCCCGACCCCCTGTGATTTTGGCGCCACATGTATGGGTTAGGTGAGCACAGAGGGGCTCACCTAACCGCATTTATTGCGGGTTGGACGAGCGCGCCACGCCGCATTTAATGCAGCGCAGCGCACGCTTATCCGGTCCGTGACCGGTCGCAGTGTGTGACCGGTCACAGACCGGTCAGATCGCGGGTTAGGTGGCAACAGGCGGCCTGTCACACGCCTCGCCCCGTCCCGTCGGATTGATGAGAGCCTCCAGGCACTCGTCCCTAGCCGGAGCCGGCGTGCTAACTCCTGGAGTTGGTATGTCAGTCCCGGCCAGATTCGTTCCAGGCTTCATCGCAACCATAGCAAGGAAGTCATTGTATGAAGTAGGGCAGACGTGCGGCATGCTAAACTGACGCGCGGTGGACAAGAGTGACCGGTCTGTGACTGGTCTGACGCCGGTCACGTCATAGGCAGACAACCGTGCTCCCACGTTGCATCTGCTTCCGGCGGAGTGGAGGTAGGTATGACCCATCCCATCGGAGGGTCATTCGGACAGCGGCCATTGCAAATCTCCACCCATTAATGAAGGAATGACAGGGTTATCCCCTGTGTCAGGCGAGTGACGGCACTGGGCCTCACTCAAGGACAAGCTGTGATTTAGCTTCCAGGCGAAGGTGCGAGCCAAGTTTGGGTCAAGATAGGGTGAGTCCCCACCCAAAAGAAGAGTAGGTAGAAGTGGTGCATGTGGTATCCCCTTGAGATATAAAAGGAGGACCTTGCCCACCGAAGTAAAGGACGGAGAAGAGAAAGGGGGGACGACTCGGAGAATACCTGAGCTCATAGAGGAGAGAAAGAGGAAGAGGGGTTCTAGAGCCTGAACTCTCTTGCTCTCCGGCTCTCTGTAACTCCTTCACACACAGATCCACCAGAACACAGGAGTAGGGTATTACGCTTCTCAGCGGCCCGAACCTGTCTACATCGCCCGTGTCTTGTGCATTTGCTCTCTCGCGAACATTCCACAGATCGAGGGTGAAGAACCTCACTTAGCGCCCCCGGCCGAACCGGCAAAGGGGGACCTGCGCGGTCTCCCGGTGAGGAGCCCCACGCTCCGTCATCTGGCGCGCCAGGTAGGGGGCGCGTGTGTCTTTCTAAGCCCTCGTCCTCTTTCGTGTGCGCCAAGCTTCTCCCGCTCAGCCCAATGGCCGAACGGGCAGTGGCGCACAACCTCTCTCCGAGCGCTAGCGGTGACGACGGGGAGCAGAACCCGCGCCGCCGAGCTCGTACTCCACCGTCCCCCTCTCGCCGAAGTCTTGGGCGGGAGGAGGCGCTCGAGGAGGTCGAAAGATCCGCGACTTCGCCGCCCGCGGGTGATGGAGAAGGACGGCGAGACGGGGAACGTCGCCTCCTCGTCTACGGCGATGGCAGCACGCCCCAGGGCGCGCTCTAGGCTGCGGGCGCGCTCCTGCGTCACCCGCCCGTCGTCCCCGATCCAGAGACTCCAGCCCAACGTTGGCTAGACGACATGACCAACTTGGTCATGACGGCGCAGCAGCGCCTAGGTGCCGGCGGGCGGTCCTCCGCCACCAAGGCCTCTAGCGCTGCTACCGCCGGCTCCGTGTCGTCGAGGCGGAGGGCGCGGCGAGCGGCGGCCGTTACCCGCCGTTCGTCCGCCATTCCCTCGTCAACGCCTCCGACCCAAGAAGATGTGCGTGGGGGGCCGGATGCCCGCCTCAATATCGAGCGCCGGCGCAATGGTCGTCGTGCTGCCCACGCAACGGAGGACGCTTCCTCGTCCGGAGCGCCACTTCGGTCCGGGCACGGGGGCCAGCCCCCCGTGTCCCCGGTTGGCGGTGCCGGCTGTCGAGCCTTTGTGGCGAGCCTTCGGAACGTCCGTTGGCCCCCAAGGTTCCGGCCCACCATCACCGAAAAATACGACGGAAGCGTCAACCCCGCCGAGTTTCTCCAGATCTACACGACCGGGATCGAGGCCGCCGGGGGTGACGACAGGGTCATGGCGAATTTCTTCCCCATGGCCCTGAGAGGTCAGGCGCGGGGTTGGCTAATGAACTTGCCACCCGCGTCGGTCCACTCTTGGGAGGATTTGTGCCAGCAGTTCACCATGA